AGAACACAAAACATGTCCCTCAGAAGGGTCCCTCCCCCTCCGGGGGATGCTGACCGCCTGTGGGCGGTCGCCGTCCAGGGACCCTCACGACATCGCGCTGGAGCCGGTCCCGGTGCTGGTCCCTACCGGGACCCGACCTTTTTTTGACCACGGACCGGCCGGTCCGCGCCCGCCCCGCTCCCGAGAGGGGCAGATAAGAATTATTATATCTTATCTTAATTGTTTCGTATTTACTCTGCAGCTCGGAGATAGTCCGCTGCTTGTAACTCATTAAAAGGATTCTTTCTACATTTCTTTGGACTCCCAAACTCTGAAGCATGTTTCCATATACTGTTTTATTTTCCCTCTTCAGTTTTTAGCCCCAAATATAGCTTAGCAGGCTATGATCTAACCAAGACACACGCTGGGGCTATAAATTTCTCTGACAATTTCTAGGGACAAGTCCTTTTTTGTGATAACCAAGTCCACAGCCAAACACGCACCCCAGCGTCAGCCGTGCTTCCTATAAATCACCCGGCCAGGAGCCACGAGTGACATTTCTTACGCACGACACAAACTTTCTCTGCAGAGAGTTATATTTAACTCCAAAATGAAGCATCTCAAGACTCTTGAGTATTCTGGAGCCTTTGGAAATGCCTCATTCTTTCTGTGTCGACTGTAAAAACTCCTCGGGTATTTTTTACAAGAGATGTTCCCATGAACTGCTTGCAGAAGGGCTCTGTTCTCCATGTCAGGAGAGTTTGGAAGCAAAGAAACCATCTCTTAGGGAAGGGTGAAATGTCCCCGCGCTCCCCACCCCAGGCTGCTGCAGCCCCGAGTTCCGTGGAGCCACTAAAAGGGAGGAATTCTTCTCAAGAAAAGGGTTATTTAAATAAAATGTCCTCATCGGATTGGAAGCAAAGGCGTGGTTTTGCCTAGGGGGGCAAAAGCCCCATCCTGCTCACTCAGCAGTGAGGGGGTGTGGATGTGTTTCCACCTCGGGACAGCGAGTCCCCAGGTTTTGTCGCAGCAAGTCCCTCTGCTCGGGGTGGATGGAGGGGGCAAGGGCACGGGATGCCTTCGGTGGGCGTGAGAAGTCCCCCGCCACCAAAATAATGTCATGTTGTTGCTGACCTCCTCATTTCTTATCTGATCATCAAATAAAGCCTGGTTTAAATGCTTGAGGCAGGCATCAGTGGGCACACAGCTCGGAGCAGGCAAGGGAGTGGTTTCCTCTGCCTCCATGGACCAGCCGACCCCGCTCCTGGACAGAAGAATTTCTTTTTCCAGGAATCAAAGAGCTAAAAATACCCCGCTCACCCTCCTTCCTCATCCATCTCCCGATATTTTATTTAAATCCTGTTGAGTGAAAAATAACAGCATCTCCAGAAACTCTGCCGTCTGTGGTTTAGGGGGCAGGAATCATTACTGACTCCCTCAATATATAAGTGAAAATCAGAAAATAAATGTAATGAAAAGTTAAGCAACTATTTGGGGTGTAGGACACAGCTCTGATAATTTGAGAATTTTCACCTACACATTTTCCTTGACCGTCTTCCCTCTCTCAGCTCCCCATACAGGAGGTTTTAAATACACGTGTAAGTGATAGAATTAGGTTCACCCTGCGATTGGGTGTTAACAATAACCTGATATTTATTTCTCCTGCAGGTTATGAAGCTCTGTACCGAAACTAGGTCTCACAGCTTCTCCATGAAGGTAATTAAGCCCAATAATAATATCAGCAGTAATGTGATATCAGATCCAGGGCAAAGGAGGAAATTTGGGAAAGCGATTCCTAAGCGATTCCCAGTTTGCCTACCTGCGCCTTGACCCTGCGGCTTCCGAAAATACCGCGCAGTCACCGCACGCCATGCATTTTGGAGCAGAATTTGTCACTTTGGGGATGTCAGCTGGAGCCGGAGGGCAGCGTGGGCTGAAGCGCAGCCACCCCGCTCGCCCTGCCCAGGCCCTCAGCCTGGCAGCTCCGGGAAGGGGCGCCCAGGGGAGCCCCGGGGGTGCCGGGCCGGGCAGGGGGTGAGGGTGGGACCCCAGCAACTTCTATCCCGCCACGTCCCCGAATCTGCCCGGTGTTTCGCTGCCTGGGCTGCCAGAGCCGGTGAGGAGTGGGGAGCGGATGGGGAGCGGCCCCGCAGAGCCCGGGGCGCGGGGAGGGGCGGGAAGGCAGCGGCCCCGTTCTGGGAGGAAATCGGTTCCAACACCCCATCTTTCGCAACCTGACAGGTACCTCCACAGAGGGAGAAAATAAGCCTTTGCCAAAGTGACTTCAGCTCCGCACTCGGCTCTGTCTTCACTTCCACGCACCCATCTCGCCATTGTCTCTTTTCCCAAAAGCTGGGGTTGGAGAAGCTCCCAGGAGCCCCAGGACCACATTTCACCCCCTGCTCGGGTCGGGATTTCTGCTGCACTTCACGGCTAAAATCCTGACCCCATCCTATCCCATTTTTCCACCAATCAAAGGAGCTCTGTGCTTTCATCCCAGAGCTGCCTCGGGTCTAAATTTTGGGTTAGCCGTCTCTGAGATGATGATACCGAAAGAACGTCCCCTTCTGCTTCAACAAAGTGACATTGGGAGTTAGTTACACACCAGCTCGGCCTAGTCAAGCTTATAGTCTAAATTAGATAACAGGAGACTTCAAATCAGAGGCGTCAAATCTCTGATAAGGTAGTGATGCTGGAATGAACCATTTTTGTGGAGACAGAAGTGATGTAAACAGGCCAAGAGATGAACTAAGTGTGCGCAGAATAAAAATTCAACTAAAGGGCACGGTGACAAAAGTTTCTATGATCAACAGATGACCCCCAAAGACAACCAGTACGCGTGTGAAAAGGACATTTAAATGTATTAATGAGTGATTGGAAATGTGATGGATTCGTTAATAATTTCTTGGAAAATAAATGCATGTTTTGATAGTATATAACTTCTGTAGAGGGACAAGTTGGGAGGCACGATGGGTGGAGAGATCCCCCGTGCATCCAGTGCTCTAATAAAGAACGCTGCTTTCTACAACTCCAAAACCAGTCTCAGAGAGTTTCTTCCCACCGGTTTTTTAGTTATCGATGAGATGTAGAGGAAAACTTCCTCCTCCCTAACTCCGCTGCAATGAGCTCTCTCGGAGCTCATTCTGAAACTCCAGCTTCATTTTAATGACATAAAGCATCCCCCCGAATGTAACAGTGGAGTGAGATCATGGTGGAAAATTATCAGACAATAGGAAACAATTGATTCAAGGATGAAATAAACATCTATCCTTTTCTTTTTTCATTTTCCACCCATAAATCATCTATTGTAAGCAGCATTTAAATATAATACATTCAATTTAAACGCGAGGGCAACATAATATAAAAAGCACTCCTGGAATCAAATTAGAAACCTATTTCTCTTGCAAGGGGAATGACATGAGAGTTGCTTTGAATCTTTACAATCACTTTCGGTTGTTTTATGTAAAAAAGGAGATAGAGAGTTTCAGAGAATATTTGTAACCTAAAAGATTTTCTTCTTGGATATCTCAGCATCAGCAAAGTCGGCAGAATAAATGAATAAATAGGCACGCAGCTCTGGAAATAGTTTTCTCCTCATTCTTTCTTATTGAGTTTTCTCCTTATTCTTTTTTTTTTATTGAAGGACAAGAATTGTAATTGGCTAAAACTCACGTTTTCTCTCGAGGGGGGGGATTTAAAGGGACGAAGGTTGATGCCATGGCTGCCTGCGCTTTAGTTTCTTAACAAATGTTACCCCCAACGTGTTGCATCAGCCAAACCTACCAACTAAAGGACGTGTTTATGCCTTTCAAAGTGAACTTTTGGCCTAGGGGGGGAAAAAAAAAGGAAGAAAAAAAAAGAGCCCTCTTGGTTCTTAGAGGCTGAATAACCAGTAAATATCCTGACAAGTAACAAATGACTGTGGGCGTCATATTGTTGGGTGCTCTTGTCTCCCTTCTGCTAACAAGTAAATAAATGTTGCCTACCTATGTTTCCTTTCTCTGGGCAGTGGAGTGGCCGGCCTGAAGTCAGTGTCTTTCCACCTACTCATCAGCTGGACTCTGCCAGGGGAAAGCTCCAGTTTGACAACAGATTCGGGGAAAGATCACACCAGGATTGCCTTGGAAAAGCAGAGCTTAATGCTCCAGAATTGGTCAAAGCCCTTAGAACATCTCTTGTTTTCAGTAGTAAGTGTGTAGATAGGTAGGTGCATGGGTGAGGGGATGGACAGAAGGATATAGAGAGAGACACATGGATCATTTTTAGTTCCGTTCCTCCAACTGCTAAGCTGGGCATGGTATTGCTCCAACAAAAGACATTCTGTCTTTCTAACTTTATTTCATCACCTCATTAGAATATTGATTTAATTACATTGCTTTTACCCACACTGGCCCTAGACACAAAGCCGATGTGGCAAAATGAACACACACGGAGCGTCTTTTTCTTTGGAGTTTTAATTAGACTCCTCAGCCCAGAAAACAGCAAACATGTTCAAGGCAATTTCTAGGGAAAAGTTTTGAAATGCAGAAAAGAGCATCCTTTTGTGCTTGGGGGGACAGAGTAGTCAGCCCTCCCTGCCTCTTTTCCCTCTGTTCTTCCTTCTTCTCACATGGAGCTGGGGTTGGAGAAAACCTTTTTAAGTTGGGGCAAGGGGAATTTCTGGTGAAATGGGCTAATCGCATAACTTGGGGGCCTTTTTAGCACTTAAAACACTCGTGGATAATTCTAATTCTCCCCTAGCCCCTCTTCCCCTCCACCTCCCCGCACCCCACCTCCCTCCTTCTCTTTTAAAGTCTTTGAGGAAAGATTTTGACGTATTCGTGTTGTTATCAGATTGATGGGCAGGGTTTGATTGAAACCCCTTTGTCATGCAAATGTCAAGGCCTTGATGGATGAGCTCAGAGATGTGACAAACTTCGGGAGCCCCTCGCTCATTGGGCTGGGGGCGGACCATGTGGTCGCCTCCCCCTACCCCCACCCCGGCCCCGCCGAAGGCTGCGGGGTTCGAGGGCCAGCGATGCATGGAAGGAAGTTTTACAGCTTTGACATACTATCTAAAGGTTGTAGGGCAGGCGGAATTCCCCCCAAAACAGGCTGACCCTCCTCCATCAGTGGCAGATGGACAATACTAGGATGAACTCCTTCTTAGAGTATGCAATTTGTAACCGTGGGACGGGCGCCTACCACCACTTAGAGCAGAGCTCCCTTTCCTTCCCCTCCTGCTCAGGTAGCCCCTCCAGTGACACTTTGAACGGAGACGGGCGTTTTGGCGTGGGAGGGAACGCGGCCGTACATCTCCCGCAGCAGAACCCCGGTTACCAACACCACCCTCCCTCCTCCCCCCTTCGCGGGCGCTGCCCCGGCCACCGGGTACCCGACCCAAACCTGCAGCTCCGGCTACGGGCACCACCAGCTCTACCTCGGCCAGGCGGACACGGACGGTGGGTACTTCCAAGGCAACGCGGGATCCAACCTCAGCTCCTTAGCAGAGAGCTACTGCGGGGCGGTGGCGGCTGCTGGGCCGTACCAGCAACAACACCTTTACGGGCAGGAGCAGCCCAGTTACTTGCCCGGCGTTTACAACAACCTCTCGCCTTCTTTAAATGAGGACAAAGACCCTGCGTGCCCCTCCGAGCCGTGTCCCAACGCCGGCACCACGCAGACTTTCGACTGGATGAAAGTGAAGAGGAACCCACCCAAGACAGGTGAGTTCGCGGAGCGCAGAGCCGGGTGAGGATGGTCCCCACCCGGGGGAGCAGGAGGCGGGGGGCAGCTCCCCAGCTCTGCAGGGAAAGGTTGCCATCCCCGGGGTTGGTACCCAAGGTAACTGGGCTCATCTTCCAGGGGAACACGGGTTTGGTTTGCTTTGGGTTGGGTTTTTTTTTTGTTTGTTTTGGTTTTTAAACACCAGCTCAGCGCTAGAGAGTTTCCAGACTCATCTGATGGAAGGTCCCTGAGCTCAGTTTCCCGCAGGCCCAATGCGATTTAAGTCCAGCTCGGAATAGGAAACGCTCCGGGCTTCCTGCTTCTTCCACAGTCGTGGCTTCCATCTCCTCTATTGTTCAACTTCCTTCTCCACAATCTTCCTTAAATCACAATCTTCCCTCCTCCCCTCATCATCACCCTCCCCTTCCACTCCTTCCCACGCACTTTCAGGTTTCATGGAGGTTTGCAGGGAACTGGCGGGGGATGTTTGCAAGGGAAGGGGGGCAGCTCTGCAGGGTCCGGGGTGGTCTGTCCCTCCAGGTTGTATCCCTGGGCCAAGAAGCCAGGAGTAGCTGAGGATCCAGGGGGGAGCACGGAGCTCTGGATTGTCAGGAGAGGAGAGGAGTGGGGGAAAACCCGCACCCACAGTCCCTCCTGAACCAGAAAGGGAATTTCTCTGGTTGCTCCTGCCGTGTTGGTGTTTGTTCGTTAACAGCTAAAGTGTCGGAGTACGGACTGCTGGGCCAGCCCAACACCATCCGCACCAACTTCACCACCAAGCAGCTGACGGAGCTGGAGAAGGAGTTTCACTTTAACAAATACCTCACTCGGGCTCGGAGGGTTGAAATCGCTGCTACCCTGGAACTCAATGAAACCCAGGTCAAGATCTGGTTCCAGAACAGGCGGATGAAGCAGAAGAAGAGGGAAAAGGAAGGTCTGGCCCCGGCTGCTGCCTCCAGGTCTGCGAAGGAAACGAGTGAAGCCTCGGACCAGTCCAACTGCACCTCACCTGAGGCCTCCCCCAGCTCCGTGTCCTCCTGAAAGGTGTCCCCGTAGGGGCACAGGGATCAGCTGCTTCCTGCAGACCCCGACACACACACACATGCACCAACACGCACCTCCCACGCAGAGCCCCGCCCGCACACACGCGTGGAAGCAAGGCCACGCTTCCCTCCGAGCAGTCCCTTTGACTCCGGCCGTCTTCACACGTGTGATACCAATTTCCCCGCTTGCTTTTCTCTCTCTCTCTTAATTTATAGACCCTCTGTAAAACACTGGACTCCAAAGGAGCAGCCGTGCCCTCGTGTATCCTCAGCAACAGGCGTTTATCTCAGGGACGTTTCTCCTTCTCCCTTCTCCCTCCCCTATAGGAACTGCACTTTCAACTCCAGAAACTTGAAAACGAATTTAGTTTTCTCCCGTTTTAAAAAATGTGCACAACGACTTTTGCCTGCAAGAATCTTACGTTCGAAGTATTTTTTTTTCCTCCCTTTGAGATTGTAAAAATGTTTGGGGTATTTTTTTGTTTTGTTTTATTTTGTTTCCCTTTTATCTGTATATCGTGGAATGAGATCTGAGGTGTCCAAGATGCTCGAGGCCTCTGCAAAGACCCAAACACCAAGAAAAAAATAAGAAAAAGAAAAAAGAAAAAAGAAAAAAGAAAAAAGAAAAAGAAAAAGAAAAAGAAAAAGAAAAAGAAAAAGAAAAAGAAAAAGAAAAAGAAAAAGAAAAAGAAAAAGAAAAAGAAAAAGAAAAGCAGCATCTCCTCCGCTACCGTTTTGCACTATTACTGCTTCACAGGGTTTTCTACACGCTCTGCGGCGATGACTGTTACCGATCCTGGGGGAGGGAGGGTTTTGCTATCAGAAAAAAACGAGATGAGGCGAAGATTGACCTCGGGGTACTTTGGGAAACGGTCACTGTCGCAGGAGGTGTGAAGGTGGACGGGAACAAGGCTGCGGGGGGGCCTGGCTCCCCCAGGCACTGATGCACTGGCTGCTATTTATTGTACTGAAAGTCTTGGAGCGGTTCCTTGTGCCTCCACCCTCTTTAGGCTTATCGGAGTCCGATAAAACCATTATTTATCCATGGTTAAATTGTTTCCCTTCCCCAAGAGAAACTTTAGGGTAGGACGAACTGAAAAAACCACGGCAATTTTCGTTAAAGATTGTTTTAAAGGGAAAAACGTCATCGAGAAAAACGAGCGGTTTCTTAATCGGAATCTCCCATTTCCCCTCCACTCCCTTCCCCGTGCTCTGTATCTCGAAATGAAACTACCTCAGTCTAATAAAGTTTACTTTTTCCACATGCAAAGTCCTCTCGACTTTAAGCGAAATAGAAATCTCTCATGTCCAGGGAACACGGGGTGGAGGGAGGAGAAAGGAGGAAGGAAAAGGAAAAGGAAAAGGAAAAGCTGCTGCCAAAGCTCCCAAACAAAACCCCCGATCCTGCTTCCTGGGGTACCCCGCGACATCCCGCGGGCACCGGCAGGGTCGGGCCAATCGCTCCCCACCGCTTCGGGGACGTTCAGAGCAAGTGGCCCGGGCGGGACCGGATAGAAACGCGGCGGTTCTCACGTGGGGTTATTCCACAGAGCAACGAGGCCTGATGGGAGCAGAAAACCATCATCATCCTCTCTGTAACCATCCCGGCACGGAAGCAGCTCTGCGTTAGTGGAGCAGCAACATTAACTGGAAGGGACCTGAGGTCCGGGGTGGGGACAAAGCGAGTTTCTCATTTATACGGAACAGGCTGATCCAACTCAAAATAAAAACTTGAGTTTCCATCGTTCAGTTTCCCAAGGCGACCCCTTAAACGGTGTTTTCCACAGTACAAGTAACACACGAGACCGGTTCGCGGGAGGAGGCGGCGAGCACGGGTATAGCTCTGACCTTTTTACCTCGAAACGCCTCTGGGATTTCTAAACAAGTAAACAGAGGGGCTGCCAGGAGAAACTATTGTTCTGGCTTCGTCAAATTTGCAAACCTTTTCGGTGGGGGTGAGGAATGATCAAACTACCTGCTACAACTACAGCCCGACCCGGGCAGCCTGGTGCGCAGAACCAGGGCGGTCCTTGGGCGACAGAGCATCACTCTTCCGCGGCGATACAATCTTCCTCCATCTAATCCACCTCTCTATCTCGAAACAAAAGATTTTTGAGTGTTCAATTAGCTTAGAGATAAGGAAAAAAAAAAAAAAAGAGGGGGGGGAAAGGGGAAAAGAGGATTTTGTTACACCAGCAATTTGCAAAAATATAATGAGAAGAAAAAAAAAGGCCAGGTATTGTGAAGCAGGGTTGTGACTTTATAACCTGTTGGGCGTGAGTCAGCTGGGTTAACCTGTCGGTGGAAGATTTTGTTGAATCATTGCGATTCCAGCTGTCTCATCGAAACAGGGCGTTGTGCTTCAGAAAGCTCGTGGGTTTCCACTGAGACCATTCTGGCCCCCGGTTGTGTCTCTGTGTCCCACTGCGTGAGCCGGGAAGGGGCCGGAGCCCCGCTCGCTCCCAGGTAAAGCGGGCAGTACCGGCCCGGCCGGTCCCGAGAGCCGGGGGAGAGCGGAAAGACCGGGACAAAGAGGAGGGTGGCGATGTGTCAGTGTGTCGGGCACAACAAAGGCTCCCAGTTCCCATTTGAAACTCAAAGGGAGTCTCCGGAAGAGTCCGCAGAGACGGTGCCGATGCCCCCTTACATATGTACCCCCCTCCGGGCTCCCCCCACTCCGTTCCCTTTGCCCCCCTCGCTGCCCAGCCGTGTTTCTCTAACAACGATCACCGCACACAGCTAATCTCTTTCCCCCCCTGCTTTCCCTTCAACTTTCTCACGCTCCCTTTTGTCTCCAGAACCCCAAACCCACTGCTGTGAAGCAGGAGCTGACTGGAAAGGCCACACCAGGACACCCACGGCTGGGGGTCCCTCAGCCGGTAACAGATGCTCCTGTGAGAGGGTGAGGGACACCCATGGCCACCCCACACCCAGAGAATCACAGAATCACAGGATGTCAGGGATTGGAAGGGACCTCGAAAGATCATCCAGTCCAACCCCCCTGCCAGAGCAGGATCACCTACAGTAGGTCACACAGGAACACATCCAGGTGGGTTTTGAATGTCTCCAGAGATGGAGACTCCACAACCTCTCTGGGCAGCCTGTCCCAGTGTCCTGTCACTCAAGCAGATAACGTGAGAGCACTGGTACTTCAGCACCCACACAGGTACCTGTGTGTCCATACGGGACATGAACGTGTGCTCCTTCCCACAGTTCATCGGCGCAGACTACACAGACGGAGGCAAAGGCGAGTGTCTCCAGACCTACAGCCACAAGTCCCCATGGAGACTCAGCCCTATGGCCACACAGTCAGGCTTTAGCACAAATACGAGGTCTATACACACTCCTTTGTTTTATATAAATGATACACGACGGCAGGGTTATTTATAATCCAGTATATTCCCATATCTCCCTGTGTGTCTGTCTGTGGGTCCCTGGTATTGCATTTTTCATGAGCAGGAAAATTAGCCAAGTCCCCCTGTACACTCACACACAAAGCCACGTCTTAATGGAGATTTATTCTTTTAATATCCCAAAGGAAGGGGAAATTCCCAGTTAAAGAAACGTAACCATGTAAATTATTGATGGCAGTTGCCGTGTTGGAGCTGTTGTCCCTCTGTGAGAGGAGGGGATGGGGAAGGGACGCCGAGATCCCCCTCCTCTGGCTCAGCTCCCAGAGCAGAGGCCTGAGGAGCACACCCGGCGCTCTGGCCTGGCGTGGCAGCTCCTCCAGGGCCATCTGTTCCTTACCCCTTGGTGTGAAATGTTTCTCTTCTCCCTAAAGCATTTGTTCTCACAATGTGAGGCCCTTTTGATCTCAGAAGAGGACATTCTATTAAAAAATAATAATAATAATACCCTGTAGACTTCCTTACTTTCAACTCCACTTTGCTGGCTGCTATTAAGTCTGCTCCTGGAGTCTCTTTGCACTGAGGGTGTGAAGCGTTCCTGGGGGTCTCTGTCTGGGGACAAAACCTCCTCCTCTGTGACAGTACTGTGGCCGGGTTGGGCTATTGCTTGGCCTCTAAAAGCCTTTGATGCCTTGAAGTGGAGGAGAAGAGGGGAGGAAGCCTTCTGGGTTTCTCCAAACTTATTTCACACAGAAAAATTAGCCAGGGGCCACCCCTTCCCCAGCTCTTGGCAAAAGCAGAGCAGGATGAGGGTGAGATGTTTTCATTACACAGCGAGCGAGTCAGAACTGAAACAGAGATTGATCCATCTTCTGCCAGTGGTCACAAAGCAGCGAGATGCCCACGCACCTGCTTACGCACTAACATTGCCAAGGGAGTCGATACAGCCTCAATCAGGTAAACCAGGAGCCATTTTCATGCCTGCTAAGTTTTCTCAACAGTTTGACATGAACACATTTTCAGATGTCACTAAAATCCCTCCTGGAGAACCAGGCAAAAGACCTGCAGCCTTGGGAAGTGCTGGGCGAGTGCGGCTGACCTCAGATCCCTGCTGGGCAGGAGAGCTTGAACATCCAACAGCCCTTCCCCATGGTCCCAGCAGCATGGTCAGGCTAGATCCTGGGAGCTGGGCATGTATGTGCTTATTTGAATTATATATATTTATAGACAACGTATTTCACTTGTATTTGTATCATATAGACAGTATATTTGTTTTTCAGGATTGATGCTGCCTAACTCACCTGGATTTCAGCTGGGGACCTCCAATCTGCTGTCTCATGTCCAACCTCAGCTGTTGAAATGTTCCTGGCTCATCACACTGAAAGGGCCACCCCACGGTGCTGTCCCCTTGCTCACCCCCCTGCCCCCCAGCCATTCACTTCCACCAGCACAGATATTTCAGCTCCAGGGTTGCTTTAGCCTCTCAGGCAGGTGAAATGAGGTCTGGGGCAAAGGGCTCGGGTGGAAGGAACAATTGCAGAAGTAAGTGTACAAAATGTTTCCTTGCTCTTCAGAGGCCTCACCTATCCTTTCAGTTTACACTGGTCTGACAGCTCCATTTCAACCCCAGCCTTCACATGGACTTGTT